AATTTTACTACATACCTTAACACAGAATAAGACCCGATTCCCTGTCGTGTTAGGCGGTTTATTGATCGATTGGAATGAAGCGGATATTTATGTGATTTTGTATTGAAGTGTTTATGAATATTAATGATGTCTCTTTACACTAAATCTACGGTAATTGCTCGACTTTCAATCTTATCTTTTGTTGCCAAGCTATAGTTCTTACCACAATGATGATTTGGCGATTGTTCGTTACGGAGAATTCACACTGGTTTCTAAACCCAAAATTCAATTATTATTTTGAGTGTCAAAGGTTACTTCCTTGTCCTTTGTCAGTCCGTCAAGTATAGTAAACAACTCCACTATTATGATAGTGAACCGATTCGTGAGATAGCTGACTCACACCCGGATATACTATGTCCTTATCCTTTGTCACCAAACTGTAGTTTATACCACAAAGAAACCTTAGTAAATATCGGGGGTTTCACCCTGGTTTCTCAGCCCCAAATTTCATTGTGGCTGGGAGTGTAAGAGGTTAGTTCCTTGTCTTTTGTTCATTCCGTCATGTCGCTATTATGGTAAACGACACCACCATAATGCAAAGAATTGTGAAAGTATTGAGCCCTGTTGTACTATTGAGGCAGGCGGCAACACAGCAAAGTATGCAAATTAGGTAAGTCATGTGCACAGATATTAACCAAACCATATCAGGTCTGTGCATTGTCCTATGACATCTATGTACCATGTTGCATTGAAATATGATAATTAGTACTTGAGATATCAGTGGAAAAGCCGAAAATTGACTAATCATTATGCAAATTAGATAATTAAAATGCACAGAGTTCCCCAAAATTAATCAAAGTTGCGCATTAGTTCAGGGCATATATGTACCAAATTCCATCAAAATCCATTGAGTGGCTGTTTGTATATCAGTGGACCAGTCATGGTACAGCTAAAATTAGCTAATTATCATGCAGATTGGTGAATTAATATGCATGGATTTCTACAAAAACCTAGTCAAATCTGCGCATTATTCAGCAGCATCTATGCATTAAATTTCACCAAAATCCAATAATATAATGGTTCTGGAGATAACAGTGGAACAGACGGACACACACAAACACACACACAGACGTCTTACCGTCGTTGTAACGACACACATTTGATTAACTTTTAATATAGTTAAATTAACTTCTAATATAGTTGCGATATGGACTCAATTAAAACGCGTTCCTATATTGGGTTGCGTTTTATTTAGAGTTTAATTAAATAAAAGTGTGATATTCTGTGACTTAACATGGAAATCTTTGTGAAGCTTAGGTTCAGTAAAGGGTACAATTTAGTATGGTACAATTATACTATACTAATATAAATTGAATCATACCTTCCCCATTGACGAAACCCGAGCTACGCAAACTTGACTTATATTCGATTAAATATTAATAAATTATGATTATAGTGAATCTCGTCACAATGTAGGTCTTGTCGTCACAAGTCGGTGTGAGGTTAAATTGTAAAATTGTCGTCACAACGTTGGTACCACTCACGCACACACACCCATACACAAACATACAGAGACACTAATTGCACACGGGAGTCAAAAACGACCAAATGCCATGGAGTTAACGTAGAGGGGCATACTTAATATTCATGATATAAACTCATATATTGGGAACATGTTATGTGCATCATCAAATAAGTCTTCGAATATTTCCGGAATTTAAAATAATTGGCATTAGTGTGAATAATGGCATTCAATTTTGGTGCTTTTGTTTTAAAATACTTACACCCAGACAGATATTTAAAATAATGGGTATGATATATAAATAATAATGCACCTCTTATGTGATGATAATGTGTGCAGCAATCGATTCATTTTGTTATCTGAAAAAAAACATATATAGCTATGCATACACCCACCTGCCCATATATGTCATTGTACTTTATATTCACGCACCCCGTTAATGACATTAATTTGTGTTTCATGGGTCACTGTATTTCACTTCTCAAATATGTTTTTGTAAACTGCTAACTTGTGCTAATATTTCACAAATGTAGACTTTACTTCAAATGTAAAGTTGTAATTCACTTTGTGGGCACTGTTGTTTTTGTCTTCTATGAACAAGTCTGATTGCACGACACAGATAATTGCTGTGTTACCGCCTGCCTCAATAGTACAACAGGGCTCAACACTTTCACAGTTCTTTGCATTGTGGTGGTGTTGTTTACCATAATAGCGACATGGCGGAATGGACAAAAGACAGGGAACTAACCTCTGACCCTCCCAGTCACAATGGAATTTGGGGCTGAGAAACCAGAGTGAACTTCCCCATAATTACTAAGGTTTAACTGTGGCATAAACTACGGTTTGGTAACAAATGTTAAGGAAGTAATCAAAGAAAGTTATACATACACCCGCCTGCCTCGACAGGTCATTGTACTTTATATCTACGCCCCCCCCGTTGATGACATTAGTTTTTGTTTCATACCCTGTATGTTTTTTTATATGTTTACACTCTGTGGATCACCCTTACATGTTGGATTACCAAGCATTAGCTGTGATATTTGGGTGAACTGTAAATTTCACTGTGGTATAAACTAAGGTTTAGTAACAAAGGCTAAGGAAGTAAAAACAATAGTACAACCGGGTGGGTCAACTATCTCATGGATCGGTTCTCTATCCTAATGGTGGAGTTGTTTACTATACTTGCAACATGACGGACTTACAAAAGACAAGGAAGTAACCTTTGACACTACAGTCACAATGGAATTGTTAGTTGAGAAACCAGAGTGAATTCACTGTATGAACTAAAGCTTGGCATTAAAGATAAGGAAGTAAAATCGACCAATCACCGTAGATTTAGTGTACTGAGACATCATTAATATTCTAGACTGGCAAAGTCGGGACTTCTTTTTAATTAATTGTTAATTTAATTTCATTGTTGATTTATCCTTTTTAACGTGATCGCGAAAACTAGCGTAACTGCAAAAGAAATCCTGACTGGACGCATCTGCAGGCGACCCCCTGCGTTGGAGTGAAAACCGGAGCGGAATCACTCCGGTGATTATACTAATTAAAAGTTGTTGACCAGCATTGACAGCGAATCAGAGTGCAGCTATATACGTCATATCTTAAGTATGTTAATGTACGTGACCTTTCACTTCTGATGTCCCGGCGATTTTGAAAGACTACTTATATACATTGGACATTTAAATCGACTTATTTTCAGTAAACAAAGATGAAAACATCGCTTTCGCACTTAGAAAGTTAAAGTACCCATCTGTGCGATCGAATCGAATCCACGTTTGAAAGGTCATGTTTACTTTCACACACCCACTCATGAATAATCAATGACATCATGAATAGTTAATAACAGTCAAATGCCCGTAGATGGTCCAGTCGGAATTTCTTCAGCGGTCGGGTTAGTTTTCGCGATCACGCTAAAAGGACTAAAAGAACAATTAATAATTTCTTTTGTAAAACAAAAAAGACTTAGCCAGTCTAGGATTGGGTGTCAATCTAGCAATTTTAAATAGCTTCGCATTGACTGCGATTTTACGGCAGTCGAGTTTCATAACTGTAGTATCATTATAATAATAACGATGAAAAACCGACAACAAATTAAAAACAATTATTGTACTGATCTGAATTTTCAGCTCTCAGGTGATCTGCGGTCAATGTTTCGTGACCTCGGATGATATTTTGTAATCTTTAATACATTCAAGAGCAGTGCCCTCAATGCTCACAAATCGCACAAGTAATTTTACGAATAATAATAAATATATTACCAATAAGAAATGTGCTTCTACATATAAATAGAGATTCCTAATACAAATAGAAATAGCGGTTTCACGAATATAATTTGGTCTATACAAATACAAACGAATATAAATGAGGTTTTAATTTACAAATGAAGATTTGTAGTAGAAATAGAGGTTTCACGAATCAAAATATGGTTTTATGAATATAATTTAATTTAAATTTAAATATTTGCACGTATTTGTAATTAATATTGCTCGGCATACACGGCCCAGCAGCAAACAGTCTGATTTTTTTATTTATAAAAATGTGTTTTGCTTTGGGCCTTGATCGCTTTATTAATAACTGCATGCGTCAGGCCGAATGTACCTGGTTCCTTATAAAACCAAACCATGTATAAAACATGCACTCCAATCATAATATAATAGTTGTTGGTGTAGGTGAGTCAACTGTATTTGTTTTGTTTTCCCACTCTCACCACGCCTAAAATGAACAATGTGCCAAACTCGGACAACGAATAATCAATGGCCCCGCGAACTCTTGTGAACTCTCTTGTTGCCGTCCTTATTCACGGCTATGCGACTTTCGGTATTTCTGTCGATGGCTTTACTTGACAAAGGGTAAGTAATTACTAATATCCATGACCTTTTCCAGCCTACGTCAACGCAACCTTACAAAGAAAGGACCAATGTTGTTCATTTTATACTGTATTTGACACATTAAAAGTACAGTTATGAAATTAACCGGATTTCAGACTCATCATACTATGTAGATGTTTGACATTCAGCAAACAAAGTTTGAGACATAACAGGGCGCGGTGGTCATGTACGGTGATCGTCCCTGCGATCTCAGACCATACATATGACATATAAAAATTCAACTCCTTGAAAATCAAATACCATAATGGACGCTATCTGTACCTTAGCTGGTTGATGTACTCAGACATATAGTCCGATATTTTGCCAATAACCTCGTATTATCAGAAGAGAGGAAAAAAGAATGCCCGCATACTATGCAGGTGTATGAATGTTCACAAGAATTTTCAAGTGCGTAACTGTATCTCCAGACGTAAATACAAGGCTTCATTTAAGATGTATTAAGTCTGTATAACGTCAACTCGCACTACAAGACGTTACACTGCTGTACTTATATTGCCGTCTTGTATCATATATTTGTTACATGCACATGTAC